ATGCTTGTAATCCTAGATACTCAGGAGGCTGACATCTGAGGATTGTGGTTCAAAGCCAGCCCAGGCAGCAAAGTCAATGAGACTCTGATCTCCAATAAACCACCAGAAAACGGGAAGTAGCACTGTGGCTCAAGTGGTAGAGCGCTTGCCTTGAGCTGAAGAGCTGAGGGACAGCGCCCAGACCCAGAGTTCAAGCCCCGCAACTAACAAAAAAAAAAAAGAAAAAAGAAACATTAGTTACGGAGACAGAATTACTCTAGAAAGAGTGTGTTCTGTGAAGAGAAACAAGTACATGTATGGGGGACCATCGGGGAGGCATTTAATCCTAGAGGCTCAAAAATAACAGATGCAGGTATCAGTGGCTCACAGTTGTGATCATAGTGACTCAGGAGGCAGAGGTCTGAGGATAACCACTCCAGGCAGAAAAGTCCATGACATTTTTTTTTAATTTTTAATTTTTAATTTAGTGGGTCATGGGGCTTGAACTCCGGGCCTGGGCATTGTCCCTGAGCTTTTTGGTCAAAGCTAATGCTCTACCACTTTGAGTGACAGCTCCACTTCCTGTTATCTGGTGGTTAATTGTTGATGAGTCTCTTGGACTTTCCTGCCTGGGCTGGTTTTGAACCATTATTCTCAGATCTCAATCTCCTGAGAAGCTAGGATTACAGGCATGAGCCACCAGCACCTGACTCCATGAGACCCTTATTGTCAATTAAAATCCCAAAAGCCAGAAGTGGTTCTAGGGCTCAAGTGGTAGCGCTCTATCCATGAGCAGAAAAAGCTAAGCAAGACCATGAGGCACTAAGTTCAACCCCGGTACTGGCAGAAGCGTGCGTGCGCGCCGCGCACACACACACACACACACACACACACACACACACACACACACACACACACTCTCTCTCTCTCTCTCTCTCTCTCTCTCTCTCTCTCTCTCCAGAGCAGAACATCAATTGAAAGATGGGATGATGGAAAGTAATTCTTGTTGTAGACTGTTCAGCAGCCTTCAGTAATTCCAGTCAGTCTTGTATCCTGCTAGACTATTTTGGTTTCTCCCAAAGCAAGACACTGATGTGGTGTTTTCAAGATCATTCTAGAACTAAAAGGGCTATAGTATTCACTATGAAATATGTTCAGAAATTGGGAAATAGTCTGTAACCTTTAAACATTGAGATTCATGTTAGCCTTAATTTTATAGGTTTTTAGACTTAAATCTCATGCTAAAAAATCTTCTAGGTTACAGGAAAGCATAATAAGGGAAAAATAACTTTATGGCAACATAAAATAGCACGTCACTAATCTTTTTTTTTTTTAATGGTAAAGTAAGGACTGAGAGAGGAGAAATGGGAACTGGGTTATCTCAGGCTACCAAATTTTGCAAGATTTCTCTCTGGTGTAATGGGTCACTGGGTTATACGGCATCTTTCACTTTCTGAGTAATTTCAAGGGACATTTGACTAAGGGTTTAGAAATTTTATGGGAGAAAATAAATTATTTGGAAAACACAACTACTTAAAATCAAATCCCTCAATTTAAATCAAGACAATTTATGTCACTATCATAAAGTGCTGAAGTTGTGTTGATAGTTGAGTTATGTCAATATAAAAATAGAAAATATGAAAATGTAGCATTTTAAAGTTAAGCTTGATGTAATAATCTGTTTGTTGCTCAACACTTTTGTCATGTATATGTCTTGGGGGTTGAACTCAGGGGCCTGAGCATTGTCCTTTTTTGCTAAATGCTAGCATGCTACCACTTGAACCTCATAGCTCCACTTCCAGCTTTTTGGTGGACAATTGGAGATTAGAGTCTCATAGACTTTCCTGAGATTAGAGTCTCATAGACTTTCCTGATTGGGCTGGCTTCAAATCATGATCCTCAAACCTCAGCCTCCTGAGTAGTTAGGATTACACGTGTGAGTCACCAGCACTTGGCTTTTCTTTATAGTTTTATGAAATAGTTTTTAAGGCTTTAAATTAATCACTAAAACAATTTTTCATAAAAATTATAGTTGTTAGCATTTTCCTAGATAACTGAAACTTACAATTTATAATATCTTCCCTAATGCAAGGTTAAATAAATATACACATAGCATATATTTGTATAGAAAACTTTGAAAAATATAGGTAAGAAATTATTAATAGTAGTTTGTTGTTGTTTAATATTGTTAGGTGGACAGGGATTTAACTTTTTTTTTTTTTGCCAGTCCTGGGGCTTGAACTCAGGGTCTGGGCACTGTTCCTGAGCTTGTTTTTGCTCAAGGCTAGCACTCTACCACTTGAGTCACAGTACCACTTCCTGCTCTTTCTGTTACTGGGGAATTGAACCCAGGGCTTTGTGAATGTAAGGAAAGCACTCTACCTCTAAGCCACATTCCCAACCCCTGGGCTTTAACTTTTTAACTTTATATATCTCGGTACAACTGATGTTTTTAACTTTACATGGATTGAATTGTTTTAACAGTTTTTTTTGTGTTTTTTGGCCGGTCATGGGGTTTGAACTCAGGGTCTGGGCACCCTAAGCTCTTGTGCTCAAGGCTAGTGCTCTACCATTTGAGCCACAACTCCACTTCTGGTTTTGAGTGATTAATTGGCGATAAGAGCCTCATGGAGACTTTTCTGTGTGGGCTAGCTTTGAACCACATTTCTCAGATCTTAGCCTCTTTAGTAGCTAGGTTTACAAGTGTGAGCCTTCATGCCCGTCTATTTTAACAATTAAGGGAGGGTTTTAGTATCCATAAAAGGATGTTATCCATCTGGGTACTGGTGGCTCACACCTATAATCTTAGCTAATCAGAGGGCTGAGATCTGAGGATTGAGATTCTTTTAAATTTTATTAGGATCAAGATTTGATGCCAGCCCAGGCAAGAAAACTCCATGAGACTCTTTAATTAACCACCAAAGAGCTTAGTGTGGAGTTGCATCTCAAGTAGTAGAGTGCTAGCCTTGAACAACAAGAAGAAAATGCTCAGGGATGGCACCTAGGTCCTGAGTTCAGGATCCAGGACCAGCACAGAAAAATAAAAAGAATATTTTTCTACCATATATATATATAATCTCCATAGGTGTTAATCAGTTACAAATTTTCTCCCATTTAAGTTCTCATTTCATAACATTACAGTATATTCACTACATTAAAAATGTAGTCTAAGCCGGGCGCTGGTGGCTCACGCCTGTAATCCTAGCTACTCAGGAGGCTGAGATCTGAGGATCGCGGTTCAAAGCCAGCCCGGGCAGGAGAGACTGTGAGACTCCTATCTCCAATAAACCACCAGAAAACCGGAAGTGGCGCTGTAGCTCAAGTGGTAGGATGCTCGCCTTGAGCTGAAGAGCTGAGGGACAGCGCCCAGGCCCAGAGTTCAAGCCCCATGACCGACAAAAAAAAAAAAAAATAAATAAATAAAAATAAAAATGTAGTCTATATAATTCTATTCAAAGATATACATGTGACCTTATAATGAAGATATAATCTGTTTCCTGTGAGGACAGATGTAACAGAAACTATAAGACTATGTATAAATGTATCAGAATACAGAAAATCCAAAAAGAAGAGGAAATGTTAGCTGAGAGTCATTTTATGTTTCTGTCCATCTTTTCTATCTCTATACATTTAACATTTGAGTCTTCAAAGTTAAATTATTTCCTCTAGCATATTACAAAAATTCTATTAATGACATTTTTCACTTTCAAAATGTAAAGTATTTAGAGTAATGAAGTTACACCTGCTTTCAGTAGTCAGCCTCACTGACTTTCTTGAAGGATTACTCTTCAAAAGATTTTTTAAGAAAGAAAGTGTCGGGGCTGAGAAGGTGGCTTAGTGGTAAAGCGCTTGCCTTGCATACTTGAGGCCCTGGGTTCGATTCCTCAGCACCATATAAGCAAAAAGAAAAAAGCCGGAAGTGGCGCTGTGGCTCAAGTGATAGAGCGCTAGCCTTGAGCTGAAGAGCTGAGGGACAGCGCCCAGGCCCAGAGTTCAGGCCCCACAACCGGACCCAAAAAAAAAAAAAAAAAAGAAAGAAAGTGTCTTATCATATTTTCTTTACAAATCTCACATTCACCCCAATTACATTTGCTTCTCACTAAGTTTCAGTTTTCTCATCCTTAAAGTGGGGTGATCAGATCTGGTTCTTAAGTTTGGAATGAGGGAGGGTCAAATGTATCAGTGCATGAAATTAAAAAAAGCTTAATCTAATCTCTGGAACACAATAAGTTCTCAGTTAATTAACATGAAATTTGCTAGCTTGCTTTCATTTTCACTTTTTTTTTTTTAAAAAGAAGTTCACCATTTTCCAACATCAACTCTAGCTCTTACAATTTGCTGCTTGAAAAAACTTAGTAGATGGAAGTAGTGCTGTGGCTCAAAGAGGTAGAACACTAGCCCTGAACAAAAAAGTTCAGAGACAGCACCCAGGCCCTGAGTTCAAGCCCTATGACTGAATGACAATCAATCAATCAATCAACCAATAAATGGCTTAGTAGAGCATAGTCATCTCAATTTTATATTACTGACTCAATTTAACTCCCAGAACAAATTAGTCTCATCTCTTTTTTTTTCTATATAACTCACATGAGATCCACTTTGGAATAGATGCATTTTAATGTTTATATTTCCTGGGTATGTGTTAGCTAACATTGATCTCTCCTTCCACTGACTACCACGAGGAATAGCAATACTAATAACAATAATAGCAGCTCCACTCATTACATGCCCAAAAGATTGGTTTCCCACCCGGACAGGAAAGGACTCTCTTCTTCTCCCATTCCACTGGATAACTGTAGATGTTAGAACAGCCTCGGAGGGCCACTTTGGGTGAAACGAATAGGATTCACCCACAACTAATCGATGAAGAAGACCAATTAGAAACACACAAGTGGAGGCTAGCACGTGGCCAATTGACTTGAAACGACCTGCGCGATTCAATACAGAGCACCGTTTTCACCTGCTGAGTATCTCTTTTTTAACCCCTACTCGGAGCTGCGAAGAAGCCGGCTGTCCCATACCTTGATGAGGTTGTGACCCACCGCGTAGACGGCTGCTCGATCCCCCTTCTCTCCGGGAGCGTGGAGCCCCGTGCCGTAGCCATGCCACGCCACCAGGTACGGGTTGTGAATTGTGATCCAGTACTTGACCCGGTCCCCGAAGGTCTGGAAACAGTATGTGGCGTAGTCGTTGAAGAAGTCCACCATGCTGCCGTTCTTCCAGCCCCCGTACCGTTCCTGCAGGGGCAGGGGCAGGTCCCAGTGGTACAGAGTCACCACGGGCTCCACGCGCCGGAGCCGGAGAGAATCCAGCAGCCGCTCGTAGTACCGGAGACCTTTCACGTTGACGGCGGCGACCGTCCCATCGGGGAAGAGCCTGGGCCAGGAAATGGAAAACTGATACAGAGACACTCCGAGGAACTCCAGCGCCCACAAGTCTTTCTCCAGAAACAGGTAACTGTCGCTGGACGGCGGGGCGCCGCCGCCGGGGACGCCGGGCCGGGGTGCGCGCAGGAAGCCATCCCAGATGGACGGTCCCTTCCCATCCTCCGCCCGGCTCCCTTCCACCTGCACCGCCGCGGTGCCCACGCCCCAGGAGAAGTTGGTGGGGAACGTGTCATAGAGGAACAGCTGGGTCGCGTTCACCGGGCTCGCACGCGGGTGGCTGGACCAGACCTCCGAGCCGTCTCCCGAGACGCCGGCCGGGGCTCGCAGCAGCACCATCCACGCCCACAGCGTGACGGCGGGGCCTCGCAGGGCCCCGCGGGACATGGCTGTCCTGCGGCGTGGGCTTCTGGGCTGGGAGCCGAAGGAAATCCATTCATTTCCTCCCCGCCCGCGCCCCCCCTCCTCCCCACGGGGGGACCCCCGGCCACCGCAGCCTGGCCGCGCGTGCCTCCGCCGCCCGCCGCACCGTCCTCGGTCTTATCGCAGCGCGACCGACGCGGGCGATTGTAAAGCGCGGTCAATGATTAGCCCGGCCCGGCCGATGGGATGGGTGGGTCGCCGCGGGGAGAGCCACGTAACTCCGGGGAGGTGGCCCCAGGGCCGTCACCCATGCCTTTTGGTCTATCTCTCCTGGATCTGTGTGTGTGTGTGTGTGTGTGTGTGTGTGTGTGTGTGAGAGAGAGAGAGAGAGAGAGAGAGAGACAGACAGACAGACAGACAGACAGAGACAGAGAGACAGAGACACACACAGAGACAGACACACAGAGACAGACACACAGAGACAGAGAGAGAAAGACAGACACAGAGACACAGAAAAAAAGAACCAGATAAAGCCTCTGAGTGGAATCGCAAGGGCTTGAAGGGTTAAGCGCAAGGCACTGGCGCTGGACGCTTTCTTGTAGCTTGTCTGGGGCGCACATCTTTCCCGACTGTTTTGAACATTCTCGAATAAGGTGTATGACCTTTTTTTTTTTTTTCCTATTGCTAGAATTTGGGAGTAGTTATTTTTGCTTCTTTTCAACGTTTCAGGAACAGTGGTTTTAGGTAGAAGTCAATCAATCGCCTGGCTTTCTACCAATAATAACTAATGAGAAACCGGCAGATGTTGGACATCTGTAAAAGTCCCAACAGCGTCTAACACGCTCTTTGTAAATTGTGAGTTGTTTCCGGAAGATTCTAAAAATGGACTTACAGATTAGAGGAAAAGAATTGGAAGAAGGAATGCAACACTTTTTAGATGGCAGTTATAAAACACTTGGCAATGTAATCGATACATTTGATGCACTTTTAAAACCCAAACGAATCCCAAATTTTAGTCCAACAAAGTTATTGAGAAGTTTCTCTTGAAGAATAAATAGGTAATAATCATACATTTTGAAAAAGATAAACAGAAAGAGAAGCCTGAAACAGAAAATAATGTTGTCATAAACTACATTCAGATTTTAGGATAAAAAGGCAGAATAACTTAAACAGCATGAAAAGAGAAAACAGGGGAAAAAATGAAAAGTTATATAGAATCTCTAGCTTCCAAATAATCTTTAGTAAGGATGGGTTATGATGGCATATGCCTGTAGTTCCTGCCTAGGGAGGCTGAGTCAGGAGGATCATAAATTCAAGGCCAGCCTGGGCTACATAACAAGACCTTTAATAGACTTAACCTTTTTTTTTAATTTTTTTTTTTTTTGGTCGGTCGTGGGGCTTGAACTCTGGGCCTGGGCGCTGTCCCTCAGCTCTTCAGCTCAAGGCGAGCGCTCTACCACTTGAGCTACAGCGCCACTTCCGACTTAACCTTTTAAATATTTGAAGTACCATATATTAACAAGAGGCAGAATGTTGATAATTTGTCCTCTACAGCCAGAGTGCTTGAGTTTAAATACAGTTGTGGGACCTTGGAAAAGTTGCTAAAATTTTCTGTGCCATATTTTTCTCTTATGTAAGAAAATCATAATGGGGCTGGGAAGGTGGCTCAGTGGTAGAGCGCTTGCCTTGCATGCATGAGGCTCTGGGTTCGATTCCTCAGTACCACATAAGCAGAAAAAAATAAAAAGCCAGAAGTGGTGCTGTGGCTCAAGTGGTAGAGCACTCACCTTGAGCTGAAGAGCTGAGGGACAGTGCCCAGGCCCAGAGTTCAGGCCCCAGGACTGGAACCCCCCCCCCCAAAAAAAGAAAATCATAATGGTAATATGTACTTTAGGTATTTATTAAGAGGATTAATACATCTAAGGTGCTTAGAACAGAGACTGATGTGTAATAACTGCTCAACAAACTTTTTTTGGGGGGGAGGGGGGTCTTACTATGCAGCCCAGACTGGCCTCCAATGTGCAATCCTCCTGCTTTAGCCTCCACAATGAGTAGACCTTATTTTTATGTGAATGGGAAGAGGGGACACTCAGACATTGCCTAGAAGATGCTGTTCTGGCTCATCCATCTTTCCCTTTCTTTCTCATTAGCTGACTCTGCCCTTCTCTTGGCTATGATACAATTTAGAAAGTCATGTGCATCCTGCCTTTTGTACTTTGACAAATGTGTTTTCTGTGGGAGGGAGTTCTGTCCTTCTGCTTTTTTTTTTTTTGGTCAGTCGTGGGGCTTGAACTCTGGGCCTGGGCGCTTCAGCTCTTCAGCTCAAGGCTAGCGCTCTACCACTTGAGCCACAGCGCCACTTCCGGCTTTTTCTGCTTACATGGTGCTGAGGAATCGAACCCAGGGCCTCATTCATGCAAGGCAAGCACTCTACCACTGAGCCACCTTCCCAGCCCCCCCCCACCTTTTTTAACCCAGGTGTCTTCTTTAAAAACCTTTCTCACTCTGAAAGACAGATCTCTTCTGTTTCTATGGCAGCCCACATACATCAGTCAATCACACACCACATTTATCTGTATCCTTTGTTTGACTATCAACTCCCTCGTTTATCATCTCCCTTGCTCCGAATGGTGGTGTACTACTATAATCCTAACACTTAGGAGGTTGAGCCAGGAGGACTGTGAGTTTGAGGCCAGCTTAGGCTTTATATGAGGTCTTCCCTCAAGGCAAAAACAAACCATACAGGAACTATGATTGTTTTGTTCGTTTGTATATTTCATACTATAGTATATGTTGAATAAATGTAATACCACAATATATGATGTATGTCCTTCAGTTACTGCGTTTATTACTTAATTCTGTGGTGATTTGTCTCCTCCACAGGCTGTGAGGGTATCTCTTACTGAAATATCTGTTATTGCTTAAGACTATATGCTTGAACTGGGCACTGGTAATCCTAGCCTGTAATCATGGCTACTTTGGAGGCTGAGACCTGAGGATGGAGGTTTAGAACCTCATGGGGAGGAAAGGCTGAGAGATTTTTTTTTTTGGGGTCCGGTCGTGGGGCCTGAACCCTGGGCCTGGGCGCTGTCCCTCAGCTCTTCAGCTCAAGGCTAGTGCTCTACCACTTGAGCCACAGCGCCACTTCCAGCTTTTTCCTTTTTGTTTATGTGGGGCTGAGGAATCAAACTCAGGGCCTCAGGCATGCAAGGCAAGTGTTCTACCACTGAGCCACCTTCCCAGCCCCGGCTGAGAGATTCTTATCTCCAATTAACTACTCGGAAAAAGCCAGAAGTGGCGCTGTTGCTCAATTGGTAGAGCACTAACCTTGAGCAAAAGAGCTCAGGAACAGCACCCACTCCCTGAGTTCAAGATTCATGACTGACCAAAAAGAAAAAAGAAAAGAAAGAAAAGAAAAAAAGGATATATGCTTAGTAACTATCAATTGAATAAATGGAGTTGGAACAAATACTTCATCATGTATGAAAATAAAAATCTAAATATATTAAGTAATTATAACCCCTATACATCACTTTTTTTCTTTTTGTCAGTGGTGGGGCCTGAACTCTGGGCCTGGGCTCTGTCCCTCAGCTCTTCAGCTCAAGGCTAGCGCTCTACCACTTGAGCCACAGTGCCACTTCTGGCTTTTCCTGCTTATGTGGTGCTGAGGACTCAAACTCAGGGCCTCATTCATGAAAGGCAAGCACTCTATCCTGAGCCACCTTGCCAGCCCTGAACATCACCTTTATAACAACAATAAAAATTTTAAAAAGAAGCTACTCAGGAGGTTGAGATCTGAGGATCATGGTTCAAAGCCAACCTGGACAGGAAAGTCCATGAGATACCTATCTCCAATTAACCACCAGAAAACTGGAAGTAGTGCTATGGCTTAAGTGATAGAGCACTAGCCTTGATCTGAAGAGCTGAGGGACAGTGCCCAGGCCCAGAGTTTAAACCCTACTACTGCCAAAAAATTAAAAAAAGAACTTTATTACAAAAAAATCTAAATATATTTAGAACCTTATAAATATACTCAAATAAAAATATATAGCAGTGGAAATGTGGCTTAGTGGTAGAGTGCTTGCCTAGCATGCATGAATCCCTGAGTTTGATTCTTCAGTACAACTTGAGCAGAAAAAAACTGGAAGCAGTTCAACTGGTAGAGTGCTAGCTTTCAGCAAAAGCAGCTGAGGGACAGTGCCCAGGCCCTGAGTTCAAGCCACAGGACTAGCAAAAAATAAAATAAAGTAAGTATATATATATAAAATACAAAAATATAGCTACTAAAATAGTTAAGTTTCATATACTGCCATTATTAAAAATGTATAGCCAGGTCTAGGAAGGTGGCTCAGTGGTAGAGTGCTTGCCTTGCATGCATGAGGCCCTGGGTTTGATTCCTTAGCACCACATAAGCAAAAAGCAAAAAGCTGGAAGTGGCACTGTGGCGCTAGCCTTGAGCTGAAAAGCTGAGGGACAGTGCCCAGGCCCAGAGTTCAGCCCCCATGACCGGGCCCCCCCCCAAAAAAATGTATAGCCATAGAAAACGAAAAGAAAGCAGAAGTAAACATTAGAATATATAAACAGATGGTTTATATATAGCCATATGATCATATTTATATATTATAATATATGATCCCATATACATATAACAATATATGGGTAGTTTAGCTATAAATAAAAAATAAAAAATTTTAGCCGGGCGCTGGTGGCTCACGCCTGTAATCCTAGCTACTCAGGAGTCTGAGATCTGAGGATCTCGGTTCAAAGCCAGCCCGGGCAGGAGAGACCGCGAGACTCCTATCTCCAATAAACCACCAGAAAACCGGAAGTGGCGCTGTAGCTCAAGTGGTAGAGCGCTTGCCTTGAGCTGAAGAGCTGAGGGACAGCGTCCAGGCCCAGAGTTCAAGCCCCATGACTGACAAAAATAAATAAATAAATAAAATAAAAAATAAAAAATTTTAAATTAGAATTAGAGTTCTAAGTAACAAACTTGGAAAGTTAAAGCAAATCTCCAAAGGAGAGCC